TTATAAACATCGCCACGACCAAGTTGCTTCGATAATCCATCAGTCCTTAGCCATCCAAACAAAATTGATTACAGACAAAGTTGCTTATTATAAATATAAACCACAAGCTGTACTAGAAAATGAACACTTCAAACTATATTGGGATAGGACCATTATAACAGATAAAACAGTATACAACAATAGACCCGATATAACATTGCTAGACAAACGAAATAAATTAGTTTATATAATAGATATCGCCATATGTAACACACATAACCTTGTCAATACACATTCTGAAAAAATTGCTAAATACACAGATTTATCCATAGAACTAAAAACACAGTGGAATGTTATCCACACTAAAACTATACCCATAATATTATCCACCACCGGAGTTATCCCAAAAACCCTTCATAATAGTCTCAGTACATTACACATCAGTCCATCCACTTACCTTCTTCTGCAAAAAGCTGTTATCTTAAACACATGTCGCCTTACCCGCAAATTTTTAAACAATTAGCTTTAATATTACGTAATTAATGTGCACTTGGCTCCGGCCCGTGCTTCTTTGACCCCACCAAGATGGGAGAAACACTTAAGATCTTTGGAAATAATAATAATAATATATTTATTTGCATAAAATGTGGTACAAGAGTTGGTTTAATATATGTTTTAGAGCTAGACACATTCCGCAGTTATAAAACAGCATGCAAATGTTCAAGTAAAATGCACATTATTGTTTTACATCATTACAATACATTGGTACAAAACGTTCGACATCTTACAGTAAAATACAGAAACACAAAAGTAGGTAGGTAGGTAGGTAGGTAAATAACAATTACAATGCATTCCTAAAATGGTAAGACTGAGAAGAATACTTTTTTAGGAACTCATCAACCGAATAAAAACATTCTTCTATCAACCAATTTTTTAGAGTCTTGCAGAACTTCTGATAGGGCAATATCTATAAAAAAGTTATTAAATATGTTAGCAATGTCTGAACCAGATGTATTTAGGACATTGCTATCGTCAATAAGCCCTTCAATGTAATCCCTTGAGGTTTCATGGCCAGTAGTACGTTTTACCACATCCCATGTAGCTTTGCCTTTATTGTTGGAGTTATTTATATGTTTTTGATTATTCAACGATTGTAAATTATTTATACATTTTTTTAGAACATTAGAGTATTTTTTAAATATTTGTTTGTTTTCATCTGTTCTATTATGATAATACCTGTATCTTAACAACCTTTTTGTTTTAGCACTTAACTTAAGTCCTTTTGAGATCCATTTCAATTTAGAAGTTTTATGTTTAACCTTAACCTTAATATTCGGAAAGCATAGTTTATAAAACAATGTAAATAATTCATGGAAACTATCAAAAGCGTCGTTAGCTTGGTGAAAGTCATAGACTTCGGAAAAGGATAAGTTGCTAATATAGTCTACAAATTTTGTCATGTTTTCTTTGCTGAGATCATGCTTATCAACGAAGTAATAATTTGTTGTACTCTTTTTTTGGTATTTAAATTCTATGACTTGAGCTGTGTTATGATCAGATAAGCAAAGATTATGTGTGTTGCCAACTACTCTCGGAATATTACTTACTATATTATCGATGCAAGTATTTAGCCTAGTGGGAGTGTGGATATGGTGTTGCATTCCATAGTTTGAGATCAGTTCATCAAAAGTAGTAGAATTTTTATCTTTCTGTAGGAAATTTATATTAAAATCACCGGCTATCACAATTCGGCTTTTTCTGTGTTCCAATTTACGCAGCATGTTATCGAATTTTTCAAAGAAAATATTTAAATTTGAATTTGGGGTCCTATACACACAAAGGACAATTAGACGTAATTGTTTTATTTCTGTGCCACAGACTTCAAAATGTTTATCTAAGCTCATGCCTTTAATTTCCTTAAGTTCAGTACATTGAAATATATTTTTACAAAGTATACAAGTTCCGCCGCGACTTTTATCTGGGCGTGAGTAAATAGCGCACATTCGATAATTATTTAAGATCATATAATTATCGTAACCTTTTTTTATAAAATTTTCACTAAGACACACTACATCAACGTTTGTTCCTATCTCACACATATCTTGAATAGCAAGTTCTAAATCGTGAATTTTATTTAATGCTCCAGCAATGTTTTGGTGGAGAATAGTAAAAGTATTCGTACTGTCATCGTTAGTCACGAAATAAATTATTCTTAGCGGTATCGGTATCGGGAGTTTGCAAGAGAGGCTTGTTCGTTTTATCAATAGCTTTAAAATAGTAAGGGATTGTGCCTTTTTGTGGTTGAATTTTTTGGTTACCTATGTGGGGTGGACTTTGAAGGTTTAAAAGTATTCCATTAAATCTTTTTGACTTTCTTACATTTGGAGCTAGTTTGACAATTCTTTCGTTGAAGGATAGAAATCTTTTGTTATATTGATCTGTATTAACTTTGTGTATTATTTGATTAACAATATTGAAGTTGTTTTGGGCTTCAATGAAAGAAATGTTTTTAAAATTTTGAGTTAGAAGTTTAAGATTGTAATTTAATTTACCTTCATTTAGAGATGCATTGTAGAGCACGTTTACTATGTATACGTTACACTTGTTTAAAGTTTTAAGCGCCATTGACATTTCCATAAGAAATTTAAACGGGTTAGAGTCATTACTTCCGGCCATGATGACAACACTGTCACTAGTTGTTAATTCTTTAGATATTGAGTAACAACTTGATAGAACTTCTTCAGCGGGGGCGCCAGGTTTTCTCATCCCTGTTATTTTATAATCCTTTAGAATAAATTTAGATTTGTTACGTATTAACAATTCAACGATGCCTTCACCTTGATTATCTGACAACAGTATGATACTTCTGCTTTCTTGCTTGGGTTTTGGGACATTCGTAACTTGTTTCACTGTATCAGATATAGTTTTTGTTTGGCTAAGTGCTATTGTACCCTTCGGTGTAGGGTCAATGCTAGTGATTTTCAATTGCTCATCTACAATGTATGGTGTTTCAAGATTCTTATTTCCGATACAAGAATTCTTAACAGCTACTTTTGGTGTTTGGAGGTTAAGATCCAAGTCCAATTTTCTAACGGAGAGATTCACTCGATTGATATGTTTGTTGTTACTTTTGGGGTGACATGACAAACAAGAATGCTTACCTGAACTGAGACTTGAAATGTACATGTTTTTAAACTGTTTGGTACGTTGTTTCTCATCATCAAGTTTCTGCTTAAGCGAGTTATTTTCTTCATTTAAGGTCTGTATTTCTAATTGCGCACTCAATAATTGCTCGTTCAGGTTATCAATCATGTTTTGTACTTCTATAGATTCTTCACTTCTTAGGTGCGTGGATAAATCTATCATACTTTTCGTACTTCGACTGGACTCTAGGCTATCCAGGGATTCTACCGAAAGAGAACGGTAATTGTTTTTTTTTTCGAATTGTAATGTTAATATTACTCATGTTTTTTTATTTTGTTTTAAGTTAATATTTATAAGCTCCAAAATTCACAAAAAGTCTTTTTCCTGACCTGGTTGCGAACACGCAACCTCTTGCTTTGCAGTCGATGCGTACAACCACTACGTCAGCAACACACTCACTTTTGTGTTGAAATATAGGTACAGTTTTTACTAGAATGTTTTGATATAACGGGTGGCAATTTTGAATACGATGCAAAAGTTCATTCACCTTCACTTTTTTAATTTTGAATAAAAATAACGTTTACTGTTTTTGTGTTTGGATCAAATATTGTTTTTATTGTTTACTGCTTCACCATATAGTTTTAATTATGATATTTTAGACCACAGGGGTTTATAATGTAATGTAGTTTTATTCACACTATTAAAATTTTGACGTCATTATGAAAGTTTGAATTCGATAGCGTCTATATTTATTATTCACTTTTCTGCAACACTTCACTGTTATATTGTGTCACAATCATTAAACGTTAATTATTTTACTTATTACACTTCAAATGTCTCAGAAAAAATGAAAAATATTATATGTGTTATAATTATTATTATATATATATATATATATATATATCTAATTATCTATTAAGCGTAAGGTCAGTATAATACTAATATTGGTAAGTTATTTAAGGAATTGCCGAAAATTTTGTGATCACACAACTTACGAGTTTGACACTGTGATTGGCCTGCTACGATTTAACCAACCAATCACAGGGCTAAAACGCGGTAACTTTTCAATCGTCTTAAGGTAAAGCAAACTTGCACTAGACAGACAATCAAAGTAATGTTATGAATCTATTCAACAATGAAAATCCGAAATCCACTGGATTTCGGATTGGTGGTAAGGAAACCATAAAAAAGTGTTACATAACTCAAGCTAAATGGAATATTTTCCTTTAAATCCCTTACACGATTCCAGCTGGCAATATGTTATGATTTACAACCGCCAGATATTTATTAGGCCAATAAAATTTGTCCTTAGCTCTCGAAGGTGGTCCTTCTTCTCCATATATCAAGCGGCTTACGCGGTAAAGGTGTGGACTGTACGATGACAGGTTAGGTATGGTATAATTTTATTATGTGCTGAGAAAATTTAACGAGCGTTTTTGCTTTTTTAAGTTTAATAGAGCGAACTTAAACTAAACTTGTTTTAACCGACATTATGTTCATAATGTATTGCAAATCTCAAAACGTAGAAAAACTTGTTGAAAAGGTAGTTAAGTACTTTTTTATGTGATTATTGAAAGTTCAATTTTTTTACCGTTACAACATTTATTGTAACTCTTAAAAGATAAAAAAATGATCAACTCAATATTGACAATATACACGAAACAGAAAAATGCGTTTTCCGAGAACTTCTGTCCATAAAGTTTTCCCGCTACTTGTAACGCCCTCTATCCGCAACCAGACTGTACCATATCACAGTTGAAAGTTCAAGCAACGCCATCTAGCGTACGTTCACTACAGTACCAGGTTCAGTACAAATTCATAATTATTCCTGATTGCAACTAAAAAAAGAATCCCCAATTAAAAAACATGGAAAAAAATTACTGATCACATTTTTATTATAGTCAACTTTTTTGTGTGCTCATAAAAAAAACACTCAAACAATGAACTAAAATTATATTACCTAACAACTAAATAACATTACAAAACATTTTACACTTCATCAACTAGTTTAAATCTCTGATGTTGAGGTTGGGGTATAACATTGAAGTATTTCTTCATAATGACTTGTTGTTCCCGGCCTCCATACATTCTCTTCACCCAAGTGTGTTCCCAGTTGGGGTCAAATTTTTCACAGGTGACCACCACTTTGCCAGCTTCCATTGCAAATAGTGTACCATTTCTGCCAAAGCCAACCTGTAATATTTTTTTAATTTCACAGAGTTGCTGAATGCTCATCTAATCAGCCTAATTAGAAGTAATTGGAAAAATGCCTTGTGACTGTTATGATAATAATAATTTAGGATACCAAGTAAATAGAATTTAAGTTAATTAAATTTTAATTACTGATTAAAATAAATACATTTACTTTATAGCAATTTGTTTCAATGCTGTTCTACACAGTTAAATAAAATACTATAGGTAATATCTATTTGAAACAGTAATAAGTAGGAGAAATAAGTTTTTTTTCAATATTATATAGGTATTTATGAACACTTACATTCAGTCCTGGATGAAACCTAGTAGTTCTTTGGGTGGCCAACATATGACCAGCCTGAACAAAATGCCCGTCTTGTACCTTCCATCCTCTGCGCTTTGGCTTTACCTTACAATTTGTATTGGATGTACTACCACCAGTCTTTTTACTAGCATTTCGAACGAATTCTGGAAATAATTAAAGGTTAAATACGCCCAATGATAACATAACCTAAAAATACTATTAGATTATGAGCTTACCTTTAAAAACGGAATTTACTTTGCCTGCACTTAGCAAGAAATTTAAAGACATTGTTAAACAAATGTGGAGTAATTAAATTAAGATTTTAATACAATAATTACTGATTAAATAACAATACAAACACCGAGGGTCACTTGACAGGGATTTGACAATTGACAAACAGTCAATGTCAAAATAATTACACTACTGACAGTCACATTCATTTTACAAGTGGATGAAAAATAATTATATTTATAAATACTGTTGATGAAAACACCACTTTGTGCAATTAATATAAAATATACATACATTTTTTAAATTTTATATATGTTTGTCATTTAACTTTTTAGAAACTATTTAAGCATTTTAAAATATGTGGATGTGTGGAACGAAACGTATGTTGCTTCGATATTTTTGACAGAAACCAAAAACTGTCATAGACTTGTCAGTTGTCAAAATGTAAAGTTCAACAAAACGAGTTGTAAGCTAAACCGTGTTTATTGTTTTTAATTATAACTCCTGTTTGGCCTAAAATAAAATATAATTGTCAATCTGTACATATATACTATTCAAGATAATAGGGGATGTTTTAACACCTATACCGAGATTATAACAATGTCGTCCGACCCACTAAACATTGCTAGACGTAAACTGAACGATGTGCTTGGCGAGAAATCAACAAAATATTTCAACCACATGAAACAGTGGTTTCGTATGAAATTAACTAAGGAAGAATTCGATGCTGAAGCCCGGAAACTGCTCTCGACAGATCAGGTGCATTACCACAATGAATTTTTATTGGCATTATTGAATAAAGTTGAGGGTCTGGCTGAAGCTTCCATAAGCATTGCTCAAGAAAAAGCTAGTTCTCACAACAGGAATAGTAGGAGGCACAAGCGGAGTTCCCGAACCTCTGAGAAGTCTAACTTTGAGCCTGTGGACTTGCTGGAGTATTTACCACCTAATTCACCACCAGGAGCAGGAAGTGATGGTGTCAAGTATGCTGCACAGGTAATAATCACACACTTATATTAATCACCACTATAAGTTAGCTGGTCATAGGTCTCTCCAGTAACATGCCACTAAACTCTAATGTTTAGCCTTTTGCATCCTACCATTGCCTGCTACTTCATGATTGGCTTTATAACACAAAGGTAGAACTTTATATTTTAAAAAATATACAACATATACAGATAAAACTTTTATTATAGACAAAACCAATGACTAATTCTATTTTTCTATCCATCCTCTTTACAGGAAATATTTCTACCAGACCACGCATTGGTTGTTGGCCGATTCATGTTAGCTGCTTGGGAAACAGGACTTGAAGGGGCTGACGATGATGCTGCTGATGTGATAGTAGTAGCCGTGCAGCATTTTCTCAAGAATGTTATAACCGCAGTACTATCACAAAGGAAGGGCTACAAGATGAGGAATAAACACTTCATGTATGATGTCGGTGGAGACGTCCCCAACATGTGGTTGAGGAACTCTGCCAAGTTATATGATCCTCAAAGAGATGGCAGAGTAAGTGTTGACGAAGGAATGACTGATTTGTTAGGACCAAGGTGCCCTCCAACTATTGACGAAATGGAACATTCTGCTGCCTTCGAAATTGCTTGCAGGTGAGAAATGAATACAATAAATATCTTCTTATAATATTCTATTTACATTCTATTCACACAATACATTTGATACATTCTTAAAAGTCAATACAAAAATGTAAGTAAGTACATAAATCCACATGCATGATCTTACAATATTTACAAATCAATCATTCAGATAAAAATAACTTTTTTTCTCTTGCAGTGCAAACACAGAGCCTAATGATGACAAACTGACCATAGACGAGTTTTACAACACATTGTTGGTGCACAAAAATGTTATATCCTGTCATTCTGTTTATGCTGTCAATATGGAAAGGATAGCTTCTTTATTAAACCATCCTAGTTTGTAAGCTAAAGGAAATTATATAATCCATAATTACACTAGACTTTCATTTATTAAGTTTTTGGAATGTCAGAAATATCTTTTAAAATTATTCAAAAGATTATAATGGTTGGTAACCCTCAAATAATGTAATTAACTCCTTGTTGATCTAGTGTTTGCAAGGTTAATTTTTAGAACTACAGGTCCTCTGATCAAGCCCTAGGTTAAAATACTTCAAATGCAAAATTCTCAGTATGTTTTGTTATGCCATTTTTACCAATAATAATATCACAATTTATTCTTCAGAGGATAACAGATAATACAAATACTATTTGAAACTACTAGTTAAGTTACAATACTGAAAATTACACATTTGTGATACCTACTCAATTCATTTCATTCAAATTATTATCAGGGACTCAAACTTAGGACCTTGTGGTAAAGTCTCACATACAAACAGTAGATCAACAAAGAAGTCATAGAGAACTGCAATTGTTATTAATCAAACCTACAATTACCTAAAGTTGTATTCATCAAAATATGATTATAGAGAATGTTAATATTAAAAATTATACTTAGTAGTCAAATATTTCAATTATTACACAATAACATATAATTGTAATACTTGATATAAGTATATTTGTTTATTAACAGTTTTTACGATACAATAGTCACAAGATTAGGTACAAAAGGATTAGGTTACACATTAAACACTAAGTTAGAACACAGAACTATACGCGGGAAGAGTCATAGAAGAAGGGTTTCGTGACGTGACGCGTGCGGCGGTGGCTGCCGGCAAGAGAGAGAGCTTGGCTTGCGCGCGTCTTGACGACGCCGAGTCTCGCGCGTGCGCGGTATGCTTCGGAACGGTTCCGGAATGTTCGCGCGGCGGACGGCCGCGCTGATTGGAGGGCGACGCGGCGACTCACGCATGCGCGTGGTGTCGTACGTTCGGACGGCCGAGTGCCGAAGCGCGGGAGCGGAAACCTACCTACCGCTGGTCCTCGCGTTACATCCTCCCCCTCTAACCCTGGCGTTGCGCCCCCGCTGCCGGGTTAGTTTTACGCGGCCTTCCCCTTCTACGCTTCTCTTGAAGAGGAGCCTGTACGGACCCTGCAAAAGGCGTCAACAAGGACACATGGTATTTTCCTAACATGACCCCGTCACTAATGCGTTCGAGCGCATAGGTGGTATGTCCTATAACCTCCTTGATTCGATACGGACCGTCACGTCGGGGAATAAATTTCGGTGTCTGCCCTTTACATGTGTCGTTAGCTCCTTGGGTTTTCAATAGTACCAAATCACCTACCTTGTAATCTGGTTGTGGGCGACGTTTCTCATCGGCATATTTCTTCTGAGATGCCTGGGCCTTTTCGTGAACATCTCGAGCATCGAGCAGCACGACTGACAACTTCCTTAAATAAGGAGTTATCGACGCCACCACATTGTCTTGCTCGATAATAGCCCGCATGTCAGATAAGACGTCAGCAGGCGCACGTATTTCGCGACCAAAAGTCAGGTAGGCGGGTGTCTGACCAGTACTGGCAGTCACTGCAGAGTTCATAGCAAAGCGAATCGCGGGGAGATGTGCATCCCACAAGTCATGCTCCCTACCTACCAAGATTGCGAGCTGTGGTTTAAGGTCGCGGTTCTTGCGCTCTACGGGATTTGACTCCGGGTGGTAGTATGACGTTAACGACTGCTTGATGCCCATCACGTGACAAGTTTGCTGCATGACTTCGCTTACAAATTGTACGCCGTTATCGCTAATTAGCCTCCTGGGAACACCATAACGTAAACATACCTCATTTACCAGGGTCTTGGCGCATTCTTCAGCCGTTGCACTTGGGAGTGCGAACAACTCAACCCATTTGGTGCACGTGTCTTCTAATATCAGGACCCATTTGTTACCGTTCGGCGTTTCCGGTAGGGGCCCGAACAGATCTACCGCCAGGACTTCAAATCGGCGAGAAGTAGCTGGTACCTGAAGTAAGCCGGCCGGTTTTCGCGTGTCCACCTTGTAACGTTGGCATGCTACGCAGTTCTTTACGTATTGGGAAACATCATTCCTCATGCCAGCCCAGTAATACTTACCTGAGAGTCGGTGCAATGTTCTCTCGGCCCCAAAATGACCTGCCGTAGGGGCATCGTGATATTCAGCCAGTATATCTTTACGCTCATGCTCCGGCACTACTAAATTTGCATCATCGTTCTCCTCGTTCTCAGGTCCGTAGCGATATAATACTCCGTCAACAATGACGTAACCTCGATCAGCCCACGCTCTCCCCCTAAATGGATCGTCAGATTCCATCGCGTCTATGATCTTGCGTATCTCGGGGTCTTTTAATTGATTCTCCCGAACCTCACTTGGGCTGCGTGAAGGCAAATCCATTACAGCGAGACACAAGTCACAGTCGGTATCGGAAGAGCAAGCAGGGCGCGAAAGGGTATCGGCGATCACGTTTGCCTTGCCTGGAGTATACTCTATTTTTAGATTATACTCCTGCAGAGTAAGCGCCCATCTTGCTAGGCGGCCGCTTGGTGATTTTAAACCCATCAGCCACCTGAGGGGTTGGTGATCAGATTTGACCAACACTTCAGACCCGTCTATATACCCCCGAAACTTTGAGACGGCCCATACAACGGCCAGGGCCTCGCGTTCGGTTGTATTATAGTTCCTCTCAGCTGACGTGAGGAGGCGACTAGCGTATTCAACGGGTCGCTCGTCGACCCCCTCCCCCTGGAGTAGCGCTGCTCCTATAGCGTACCCACTGCTGTCAGTTCTGAGTACGAAGGGTTTCGTCACGTCAGCCTGACGCAGGATCGGTGCTGTTACGAGAAGAGATTTGATTGTATCAAAAGCGGTTTGTTGCTCCGGACCCCATTTCCAGATACTCGCCTTTTTCAGCAGTGAAGTTAAAGGCGCGCTGACTTCAGCATAACCTGGTATGAACCGCCGGAACCAACTCGATGTTTGAAGGAAGCATTTAAGATGCTTCACGTTCTGTGGCGGTGACATATTAGTTATAGCGGAGGTCTTATCAGGATCCATCTGAATACCTCCTGGCACGATAACATGACCTAAAAATTTTACAGATTCCCTCGCGAAATAGCTTTTCTCACGATTCACTCGCAAGTTAAACATTTTCAAGCGATCGAACACAGTCTCTAAATCAGCGAGGTGCTTCTCAAAGGAGCCCTCGGACAGTATAATCAGATCGTCTAAATAGGCTAGTAAAGTTATACCTGGCAAGTTGGACTTGAAACGATCGATCAGTCTTTGAAAGGTAGCTCCAGAATTACGGAGGCCCATAGGCATACGTTTAAATCTAAAGGTTCCCAGAGGCGTCGTGAAAGAAGTGAGGTCTCTGTGTGCTGGATCCACACTTACCTGGAAATAGCCTGATCGAAGATCCAAGGTCGTCATGAACTTGGATGTCTTGGCGGCGTGGAGCACATCTTCAATTCTGGGCAGCGGGTAGCGGTCGGGCTCTGTGACTGCGTTAAGTTTACGGTAGTCGACGCAGAGCCTGTAGCTCTTATCCTTTTTGCTGACCAGAACGACGTTCGAAGCCCATGGAGACTCGCATTCTTCAATTATATCGGCACTGAGCAGCTTTTGAAGTTCCTTTTCCAGCGCTTCTTTCTTCAACGGTGACAACCTGTAAGGTGGTGAGGCAAGAGGTTCCTGATCTTCACTCACCTTGATCTTGTGGATGGCGAAGTCTGTCGGTGGTCCTTCGCCAGCAAACTGGGCCGATCGCCTGTTTAAAAAGGCGTTCAGTATCTCCTTGTGCTCTGGTGACAACCTATTGCCTTCGTCATCACGTAAGGATACGCTCGAGATGTCGGCTCGCATCAGTTCAGAGTTATTTAATAGGATAGATCGTACAAACGGAAATATTTCTTCCGGGTTGTCTGAAAAATACCATGCGTCCTGGGCTAAGTCCAGTATGACACCGGCCTTAGTAATAAAGTCGCGACCTAAAAGTGTCCTAGTATTTTCTTCAAGTAACACTAGGAACTCGGTATCTACCTGCCTACCTTCTAAACATACGGGAACTGTCGCGATGAGTACTCTTTTTAACTGTCGAGAGCCGTCCGCAAGCCCTATGGTGCGTTCTGTCTCACAAAACGGTATCCCTTCTGAAACTAGAATATTATGTAACATAGTACTTGCAATACTACAAGTAGCCCCCGTGTCCAGTATAGCCGCGCCTATCCTATTCGCGATGTTAACGCATACAGTCGGATGTGGAGACGACGACACGCACGTGTTAACATCGTTGGACAACGTATTAAAGTCGCAAGTTTGCGAGGGCACATTATTCCCGTGGCAGCGCTCGCATTTTGACCTTACAACGCCGGCCTGGCCACAACCGTAACAGCGTATCGGGTTAGGGCTATAGTTATTATTTTTACCGGGCACTAAAGGTGTAATTTCTTTTTGTTTACTTTTTAAATTTCTACATTCGGCTAGGTTATGGCCGTAAAACTTACAAAAAGTACAACGAACGCGTTTTTCGCGTTTAAATTTTTCGTTCGAGTTGCTAGTGTCTTTTGAGTCAATGGTAGGGGAAGAACCAGCGGTAGGGGTACGCTCGGTATTATTACTATCGAGATCGCGATCGCGTGAGACTTTCGGGCGGGAAATGTTCGTTACATCGGAAACGTTAGTTTTTGAGGTGTATGTACTTACGGTACTTAGAGCTAACTCCGAAATCGCGTCTTCGATGACCCTTACCTTCTCTACAAAAACATCAACATCAGTAATGTCACTTCTTTGCAGTCGTTTTCGAACACGACGATGCAACAACCCGTAAATTATATCGATTTGCATGGGAATCGGTACATCATATGGTAATTTTACTATTAGGGATCGTAATCTACACACAAACACTTCGGCACGTTCGTCTTTTTGTTCCTCACTAAACACTTCGCGGAGTATTTTGTATGCTGGCTTCTGCGTCCCGTACATGGAGCGGAGTCGGTCCACGGCGTCCTTCCACGTGGTGACGGTGTTGCGGGCGCCGCGCCACCACACGGCGGCGTCGCCC